GGGGGGGCGGGGAGCCGTGGGCCGCGGCGGCTGGCTCCGCCGCCGGGCGCTTCCAGAAGCTTCCAGGGTGAGGGTGCGGGTGGGGCCGGCGGCGGGCGCGGCGGCTGCCTTCTGGGGCGCTCAGGAGTCTGCGCGTGGCGGGCAGCGCGGGGAGCCTCGTCCGGCCCCTTAATAAACTTCAGGTGTAAATCGGTCGCGTGATGAACTCGTGGGACGCTGGACTGCGGCTCTTTGACAAACACGCGGCTGCTCCCCGGAGTTGGAAGGCTGTGGCAGCTGTGGTACTTAACGTGCTGCTTGCTCAGAGTGCAAACAAACATGGGTTGCAGGTGTGCTCAGAGCTGTGTGGAGTCCGTGGAGAGAATTTCTGTTTACAAACATTCCTAGCCAGAAAAACAGCACAGTAAATACTGTCATGGTAAAACATAATTAGCAGCTTGCCAGGATTTAATGAGGCACTTAAGTTCCTAGGATATGAGTTTTATTTTTGGCATCAGGCTTTCTCAGAAGGTAAATACCGGATTCTGCGCTTTTCTAAACTCCAGTGGTATTTCTTGGGAGCCGCTGCCCTGTTGAGATAAGCTTAGTGGGAATGCTGCCAGAAAGGGCAATTTTACTATTTCTTTCATTTTCATGTCATGTTCTGTGCTCCCTGCTGTACCATCCCACTCCGCAAACTACCGTAAATACAAGGAATGACAATGATCATTATTTAGTTTCACCAAATAACAGGTTTACTTGAAACTTGGCAGTGGCACAACAGATAGTATAAAGGCTAGGCAAAACTCAACACCAAAACTTGCGAATACAATGAACAGTGATTTAGGCAAAACTCAAAAGGAGATCACCTGTATATGCCTAGAATGAGGTCAGAAAAGAGAGAGAGAAAGATAAGGAGTGGGAGAAATGAAAATATTATCACCACCCTTGGATTAAGCATTGACCTCTGCTCATAGCTGAGGTCTTCCAGTGGCAGGCATGCAGGCTTGAATATGCATCTTCTCCTTTTATACTATAAGTGCCTGTCCACACAGGTGGGGGATTCTGGCATCACTGATCAAGCACAGTGTGAGTTTGAGAACATTATGGAAATGAGTCAGTGGGCTGCGGGGGGTCTTGGTGGTCTCACACTCTCCCTTCCCCAGACTGGACTGAGGGTTACCTTCCACAGGTGCGCACACACAGCAGCTTGACTAGGGATTAACTTTCACAGGCACGTACATGCAGGCAACGGGTACTCTATATGGTTCTTGAGAGCGGGGATGCTGCCCCATGCCCACAGACCCTGTCTGCTTGCTTTTGCTTGTATCAACACAGAGGTTTGAGACAATTCCATGCTCCATTTTGACTTGGGGCCTCACACCTACCTAGGATGCGCTGCTGTTTCCTCTCCTTGTTGGGTCTCTGTAGTAAAAGAAGACTAGTTTAATTTTCTGTTTTCATGGTGCTACCAGAAACACAGGTATAGTGTGTGATCACGTGATATATCTGCCTGAAATCTGTTCTGATGGGGGGGTGTGTATGTCAGGATTTGAAGTCATATGAAGCGCAAGTGCTAAAACACATGCATATGTGGGGATCATAGTTTTTAGCAGCATTGTTTTTACTGGGACTGGAGCCTGATATATTAAATGCTAAGGTTTAAACCAGTATCATGCATTATATGTTAAAAGGAGTCCTTATAATCTAGCAGTAATATTTTTCTCTTGATTGCATCTTATGGCATGTTGATACTGGTCATTTATAGGCAAAATGAAGTCAGTATTTTTGTACAGGTGTAGTTAAATGTGTGGAATTCCCTTCATTAACAAAGATCCTCAGCAGGAGTATCAATTCCAGTATAATCATACAAGTACAAACCGCCTGCAAGTTTTCTAAGGTATTGTTTGGATTATTTAAAACAGAGTATGTTTTCCTTTTTTTAGCTTTGTTTCAGGCAGTGCAATTGTTATTTTTGAATACTTAAGGCAGAGAATACACAGTATTTTCTGTTAGGAATTGTGTTGTGTAGAAATGGAAAGAAAGATTAAACCACCACAGCAAATGGGTTCAGCTAGATGGAAGACATTTCATCTATGTGCCTTCTTTAGAACCTTTCAGTTTATCATCTCACGCATATGGAACTTGAGAGAAAATTGGCTTTTATGAAAGTCTATGTATAATCCTCCTTTCAGAAGTGAAAGCCTGTAGTCCCTTTAAAGCAACTTTTCCTTCTATTGCAAATACCAAATCATAATTTTGAAGAGGATTAAAAGGATTCTTAGGCAGCCATGCATCTAGTTATATTTGAGATCCCTCAAATTATACTGAAAATGCTCATTCCTCAGAGTTGAATAACTATTTGTCAGGCAACTGATAGAGCTAACAAAACAGACATACTGGTTTTAGTAATCCAGGGTTAGGAGATCTTACTTAGTACCTGTCTGTCATTCCAGCTTGTTCTTTCATCATTTATTTTCCCTGATAAGACTTAAAAACATTGGTGAATGATAAATAATGGGACAGTAACAGGAATTTGTAAAGTTTCATTATTAATTTGGTATCTTTTTCAATAAAATGAAAACATTAACATTAAGGATCTAATTTATAAAATTATTGAAATAAAGAAATAAGTTTGCTAAAGGGTTAAGCATATTAAATGGTTAAGATTGATAATAATTTCCAGGCAAGAAGAAGATCAGGAGTAGCCAGTATGGATTCACCAAGGGGAAGTTATGGTTGACCAACTTGTTAAACTTCTATGATCAAATGGCCTGGAAGAGCCAGGGAGAGAGTAGCAGTTATTGTCAACCTTGACTTCAGTAAGGCTTTTGATACTGTCTCCCATAACATCTTCACAGAGAAGCTGTTGATGTATGGGCTTGATGTGCAGTCAGTGAGGTGAACCAGGCCCAGAGGGTGGTGATACATACTGCAGAGTCTAGTTGAAGGCCAGTAACTAATTAGTGGTGTATTGTTGCAGGGAACCCTTTATTTGCAGGACGAGGTTGGGAGACAAAACACACACCAATATGGTTAACAGTCAAGCTCCGACATTTATTAGAAAAACAAGTCCTTATATATTCTTATGACAGCAAATCCATGTGATGGTCTGGCGCATGCTCATTTCAAAAACTCATTCCTCTCAGCACTTTCAGCAAGCGCTACTAAGCGTGCACAACCGGTAGATAAATTTCTGCTTTGTTATTCTAAAGATTCCCTTCTTACCTGTTTCTTCCCTAACAAGCAAAATTTCTTTTTTGCTTTTAGCCATTGTTAATCTAGATGCTGTTAGTCTTCTAACACAAGTGCATCATTAATTTAGACATCGTTAATCTTCTAACTTGAATGCTGATGACACTTTTACATTGTCAGTGACGCAGACGGTTCGCGACCTGGCATATGCACCCACAGTGTATCCCAGGGGTCAATACTGGGTCTGATCCTGTTCAGGGTCTTCATTAATGATTTGCACTATGGTGCTGAGTGAACACAGCAGATGACATGAAACTGGGAAGAGTGGCTGATATATTGGAGGGTTGTGCTGCCAGGTCAGTGGGCTGTAGAAATGGGCTGAGAGAAACCTCATGAAATTGAACAAGGGGAAGCTCAAAGTCCTGCACCTGGAGAGAAAACCACCAGCACCAGTGTATGGTGGCAAACAGTGAGCTGGAGATCGGCTTTGTAGAAAAGGACCTGGGAGTCCTGGTGGACAGCAAGTTGATCATGGGTCAGCAGTGTGCCCTTGCAGCAAAGAAGGCTAACTGTATCTTGGGCTGTATTAGGAGGAGTATTGCCAGCAGGTTGAGAGAGGTGATCTTTTCCCTCCATTCAGCACTGGTGAGGTCACTGCTGGAATACTGTGCTCAGTTCTGTGCTCCCCAGTACAGGAGAGAGATGGACATATAGGAGAGAGTCCAATGAAGGTCCACAAAGATGATGAAGAGACTGGAGCTTCTCTTCAGAGGAAAGACTGAGAGAGCTGGGACTGTTCATCCTGGAGAAGACTCAGGGGACCTTATCAATGTATATAAAAACGTGAAAGCAAAGTGCAAAGAATGCAGAGGCAGGCACTTTCTAGTTGTGCCCAGCAACAGAACTAGAGGCAGTAGGCACAAACTGAAACACAGGAGTTCCTCCTGGACATGAGGAAACACGTATTTACTGTGGGGGTGATAGGGCACTGGCAGAAGTTGCTCAGAGAGCTGCTGGAGTCATCTTTGGAGATATTCCAAGCCATCTAGACATGGTCCTGGGCAAGGGGCTTGAACAGAGATGTCAGACCAGATGACCCCCACAGGTCCCTTCCAGCCTCAGCCATACTGTGTGATACTGTGTGAAACAGGGCTCTTCAGCATTTTCTTCAAAATACAGAGACTGTGACAGTCACACTGCAAAGAAGGGACAAACTGTTTTCTGTCCAGTGTGGAGGGAAGAAAAATGCTTAAACTTTGTCAAGGTAGCTTTGGGGTAGGAAACATTTTGTATCAGTATCTAATTTATGGAATAAGAACATTTTAGAAAAAAACCCCATCCTGCAGGAATATTTTAGGTCCA